TGTCATCCACAAAATGCTGTGAAGTAAGGTATATAGTCCACTGCCTTCAGTTTCTTCGGTTTAAAACACGTCATGTTAATGTGAGTTCTGAGATCTAACCATAAAGATTGGATTTTATGCGATCACATTATTGCACGCCCACGTTTGGCCTGAAAGTAGCTGTAATTCATCTCCCTGGGCTGTCTTTATTTTATATGTCTGGATAATCTTAACCCTCACACCCCCCGTCTTCTTAATTTCCCTTTATTACTCAAACTATGGTCTGCGGTTAGATTATATTTAGACCATGAGCAGAACACCATTGACAAAGCAGGCCCGCTCACCTCAAGAGGTTTTGAAAATCTTCAAGGGAAATGTGGGCGGGGCCACATTTCTGGGAGCCAGTGTCGTCACTTAATACGTTCTGGCATCACTGAGCGATAAAATTTCATGTTTGGTTACAACTGGGACTAAAAGGGACAGTTACAGGACCGTAAAGACATGAGTCAATATCCTGAACACAGATATAAGACATGAGGATGTGGAAGCCTTCGGCTGAGAGCATGAGAAAGGTGGTTTGTTTCCTGAAAACAGAACTTAAGTCTTATTAGTTGTGGTCACTAGTTGCATATTTATGGCCTGTCACTCTAAGAGTAAAGATTTGTGTGGTGATATTATTGAAATATTTCGATGGAAAATATTTAATCTTCATAACGTTCTTTGAAACTCAATACTGAGTAAAAGTTTTGAGCCATCCCTTGTTTCTTTATATTTTTCTAGGAAATTGGAAATAGGTCTAACAGTTTATGGAAACATATGCCAACACGTATGTTTGCCCATGTTTCAATGAGCTTTAAAGTCAACATTTAGTATGACCACCTTCACTCTTTAACTATAGGATTTCTGTAGTAGTCTTCAGGAATAGTTCACTGGGATTCTTAAAAGCTCTTCTTTTGATATTGGCCTTTTGTTCTGTTTTCTGTCAAGATGATCCCACCCTGCTTCAATAATGTTAAGGTCCAGGCTCTGGGGAGGCCAGTTCATAACTGATAGTCTTCCATTGTGTGTTTTTCTGCCCAAGTATGCTTTTACTGCACTGGCAGTGTGTGTGGGATCATTGTCATACTGGAAAATAAAGCTACTGCCAGTCCGGCACTTTCCAAATGTTAATGCACAGTGAATCCAAATTTGACGATACTTTTCTGCATTCGTAATTCCACCAATTTTGACAAGATCCCCAAAACCACTGGCTGAAATTCAGCCCCAAACAATGACAGAGCCTCCGCTGTGTTTTATAGAGTGTAGTTCCTTTCTCCTGATCTCCCCGGCACATGTTGATGATGGCTTGTTGACAGCGACCCTTCCACTGAGACCTCAGTGACCAGTAGATGCATCATCTGAAGGGCCAGATTCATCTGTCAGGTCCTCAGAGATGCATCTGCTGAATTTTTTCTTCTACTGTATCATTACTGTAGTTGTCCATCTGCTGTAGATAATTTAAGGCCCGACATAAAAAACAAATAAACCAAGAAACACTGATCTGAAAAAGGTCAGGTACAAGGACTGAACTGAAAATCAGTGAAAAAGCAAAGAAAAAAGTACCTTTATAAAGCCTGGAGAGCTATTACCTGGAGAAAATCCAAAAAGTCTGGTCCCTTGGAAACAAAATATCAAAAAAAGTGGGTGTGGCTTAAGAGTATTGAGCAGTATTGTACAACTTTGTGGCCTTTTGAACTCCCCTTCATTTACACATACTATATTTATCTAAGTTTCAAATAGCATCTATGTTTTATGGCTTCCACTGTGCTAGATTTGACAAATTTCTCTAAAAGTTAGTAATAATTGATCAAAAGTATTCTGTAATAGAACAGTCCTGTAAAAGCCCATACTGTAATTACTCAGCATTTCCAATTTAATGTGACCGTTTTTGAAGAAAGGATCTCTAGTACGAGCACATAATTAGCTGCCGCTATAATAAATCAAACACTAATTACATACAGATTGTGAACAGCAAATTGACGGAACATACAGCGTAACATACATTTCCTCGGCTCTTTCACATACATATATGCTCTTCACTGATACCTGTTATTTTCCAAAGCCTTGACCGAGACTTCTGTGTTTACTGTATGTGTGAGTGAATGTGCTCATTTGTACATGTTATAAAGTCCACTAACCTGTATGAATCTTAGTGTATGCATGTTTGTGGAATGTGTGTGTGTGCGTGTGCGTGTGTGTGTGGACCCTGCAGTCTAACTGTAATGGTTCCTATCACTTCACACCTGCTGTCACTTTGTTACACACAAGCCTAAAGCGTGCAGGTGACCTGAAACACATGTTCACCTCATATCTATCCAGGCCACGCGGAACACACTGGAAAGTTAAAATGTTTAATAGAAACTAATCTTGAACATAAAGCTGCATTAAAAAATAATTTTAATTGACTTAATAGACCAAAAATGCAAATTCCCAATCGTGGCTTTAACTGTCCGAGATAATTTAAGACCCAGATTTTCCTCAACATCCTGGAAACGATATATATATGTAATAAATAGCATTATTATATATCATTAAAGCAGTGAGGGATGAATAATTTCAGTTTTATGTGCTGCAAACCAGTGTTTTACTCGTATTCAGAATTGTTGCTATGAACCGCTGGTAGTCTGTTTAATGTAAGCTGGCTTAGTCTGACACTCAGCCACACATGCTGACATATTTAGTTACAGATGGCTTCTTTACTGCCCCTCTGCTCATTTAGTTACTGTATACAAACTCACGTCGAGGAATTCCTTTGTGAAAAACACTCATTTTAGATGGTGAATTGAGAAATACGTGCCTTGGCAGAAGTTCATTCAAACATTGGAAAATTGTTTTCACATTCTCTCGCTCTTTTTCAATGTTTTCTATACACAACACTACAAACTGTGACAGGTAAAGTGAATGACATCTCTTTATGACGCAATGATCTGCTGGGAAAGCTTAGATCTACTTTAACATGTAACACCTGCCAAACGGCTCAGAAATAGCTGAAGAAACGAGAAGAAGAGCCCAGAGATTGACCCCTACATTTCCATGAAAACCCCAATCCACAACCAAAAAGATGCATTGCCAACATCCTGTGCCAGACACCACAGGACAGCCTTCAGAATTCCCTGGTCCATGCCCTGAGGCTTCAAAGATGTTTTAGCACCACAAAGGGATCTGCACAATGTTAGGCAGATGGTTTTTAATGATATGACAGACTGCTCTATATACCAGTCGTGTTCTGTCGGGGCAAGGCAGGTGGGCATTGCTTGCCCAGTGAAATCTACAATTAAATATAGACACCATAAGTGTCTGCCATTGCTCTTTTGCATCCGCCCTTTAAATTACTGCCATCTTGTGGTAGCAATTTGTCTCATCTTTCCTCCGCTTGCCTCCAATTCCACTAGAACCTGTAGGGCATCTCGATTTTATGGGTGTTCTCCATTAACAGTAGCTTGAATTGGGCGAGATGACAGATCAGCAGCTTCTTCTGGTTATTTGTACACTCACATTGTGGATAAACATGTTTTCTTTAACCCTTTAAGACCTACCA